CACTCACCTCAGCCTCCCAAAGGCACAGGATTACAGGCTGAGCCACCGAGCCTGGCTCCCATTTCTTTCTTTCCCTTGCAGTTTCTAAAAGACTGCTATAGCCCTACTTCCACTTCTTTACCCCCAATTTACACTTTAATCTGGCTTCTATTGCTACCAGTCGATTGAAATTAATTTGTCATGGTCACCAATGACCATAGTGTTAAACCCAAAGGCCTTTTTTTCCTGAATTTAGCGGCAGCAGTAAGTGGACGTGGCTGACCACCCGCTCTTTTCTTCTCTATGGTTCCCTCTGACCTCACTGTTCCAATTCTGTCTTCTTTGCTGGCTTCTCTATTTGACCTCTAAATGCTGACCTTCCTTGGAGCCTTCTCTTCTATAGCCATGCTCTCTTTCTAGATGGTCTCATTCAATTCCATGGCTTTCAATGTCTGTATGCTACTGGACCTATTAACACTAAATGATGTGTTCATTAGTGGCAGGGAGTGTATTTTAATATTCTTTGTATTAAATTTCCAGTACCTAACTCAGGGCCTGAAATAAATTAGTGAATAATAAATATATATTAACAGTAGCATTTTTTTTAAAAAGGTGCCTACATGCTGCTAAGTCCTAAATTTTTATCTTCAGCCCAGACTGCTCCCTGAACTCCAGGTGTGGATGTATGGTTGTCTGCCCAATGGCTCTGCTGGCTTGTCTAACAGGCATCTCAAACTTATATCCAAAACTCAGCTGAAGTACTCCAATCTTGACCTCTTCCAAATTGTCCCGCCTCAGTGAATGGCATCACCTTCAAGCCAGAAACTGGGGTGTCATAGTTGGTTCTTTCCCTAAACTCAATCCCTCAGGAAATCCTATGGATTCTGAATCCATTCTTTTCTTTCTCCTCTGCCACCATCCTAGTTCTCTGGACTACTGCAAGTCTCCCAGGTGGTCTGTGTTCTCTGGTACACCTTCATACTGAGGTCCTGCAATGATCTGGACTGTGTCTACTTCTCCTACCTCATCTTAAGCTGCTCTCTTCTTCACTCAGCTTGTTCCTCAAACTACCACTTTGCTTTGTGCCTCAGGGCCACTGTACTCACTGTTGTTTGCCTGGAATGTTCTCTCCCATGTCTTTGCAGGTGTGCTGTCAGGGTGCTTTGCAGAAGTGAAGGAAGTGCTAGGAACAAGTGGTCTGCATATTTAGCATCTTTTATTGATTTGTTACTATATACCAGCCACTGTATTTTTTTTTTTTTTTTTTTG